AGTCGATTAATCCATATTTGTTGTAGTGTTTGATCACGATACCAAACACGTTTCATATCATGTCTGATAGTGTGTGTTCACATGGACACGTGTGTGAAGAGGACACAGGAGCAGAGAAAGAGTGGAGTTGTTTAATGACAGGAACAGCTGACTCATTTAGAGAGAGCAGTGAAAGGTAATTAACCCTGGGAAAACTACAGCTGCCATACGAGCTGTTCACTTCAGCGCAATCTGATTAGGAATCACCGCTCGAGTCCCTGACTCCTTTCAGACCATCTGAAACCATTGTAAACTTTTTTTCCCTTTTGCCCCCCTCCCGGAGAGCCTCCTAGAGCACAAGAGACCTGCCTTTTGTGATGAGGAGGGGGGGTCGGATTAGCCAGCGTAGTTACTACGTTTCTACAAATTGCAGACCACCTGGTAGCATTCATTGGAGCTCCTCCATGAAAAGGGGCTCCTTGGGCAGTGACAATGAGCTGGATTACTCTGCTCATTGTCACTCTAGAGCTGGAAGTTCCTTTTTTTTTCACCCAAACACCTGTCCCCAAATTGGACAGGTTTGAAAAACCCATGCTCTAATAAAAGTCAAAGATTCAGGCAAACACAGGAGCCGTTCGACAAGCTGGAGGATTGCCAGTGGATGAATTGTGCGAAGCTCAATTTATTACGCTGCTGATGAATGGCTTAGAGGAGGAGGACACAAATTTTCCATGTTTCAATATTTTGGTGTCCCTAATTGGATTGAAATTCACAAATAAAATAGCATATCATCTAGGTCCCTTTTATAAGATAAGGGGACTAAAAGAAGCAGAAATGTGGTCAAAAATGGAAATTGGTTCTTTGATGTCAGAAGAAACAATCTGGACTTGATGCCGCTGTGTGGTCCGGCTCCAGATTAACTCAATTTAGAGGGAAAGGCTTTGAGATGACTTTGGAACGTGATTACAAGATTTATAAATCACCTCGGCAAAGGTGTCACCATCTAACTCTTTCATGGGACTCCTTCTAACTCTGTCCAACAACAAGTTTCCCCTGTAGTTTTGCCATCATAACAAATCATTGAAGCGATAGCTTCGAGCCAGCCTCCTAATTGTCTGTTAAGAATTCTATGAGCTGCTCTCCTTTATTGAAGCGTCTCCGTCTTGGAGAAGCGATAAGATGCCAATACGCTTCTCTATAAAAGTACACTTTGGCAAAAGGCACAAACACTTTGCTTGGCCGTCAGGATAGCTGTGAGGCTGTTATATCTGAAATCGCAGTTGACTTCAGGATTTTGCCTGCATGAAACCACCAAACTCCTTTACACAGAGGGATGCTCATAAAATGTTGGCAGGATTTTTTTAAGATGAGTTTTTTCTTTTTTTTCTCTGTTGCACATAAAGATCATTAGTTTTATTTTACTACTGAAATAAATCTTTAAAAGTTCAAGGTTGCTCAGCATAACATTTGATGAAAAACACCCTAGAGGAAATACATTTTGATTGAGTTTTGTTTCGGTAATTTATGCTGGACATTGGCCAGTATGACATTGTCATGAAATATCCTTAAAAATTATCATAGTTTGGCTGAAATCTAAACAAACTGGCGAAACATAATCTTGTTGCTTCTAAGACTTTTTCCTGCTGCTGCTGTAATGATATAACATTTATTAAAAATTACAATAATGTTATTTATGGTACATATTAATTAAATTTTGATTTCTGTATATAGACTAAAGCATAATTAGAAAATAGCCCACCAAATTTGTCATTTTCAACTATTCATTGCCATAAAAAACAAGTAGGCCTTGGTTGGCAAATAAGTCAGGCTTCCTGCTCAGGTAGCCAGCCTGTAGTCACCAGTTTAACAGGCAGATTGTTTTGTTTGAAAACAAAATTACCATAATAAGAGCAATTGGCACAATTCCTTTTAATCTCCAGACAAAACTGTCTACTTTGTTTTTCTCTATCTCTCTAGAAATCGTTCTATATTTCCACATTTATCTTTCTTGTAAGAGGGGTTAGTCAGTGATTAGTTATGTGCAGCACAGACTATCGGCTTTGCTACTCTTTGCTTTAAACTGGCAGAGTAAACTCAGTTTCTCTCTAAGTGAAGTAGGCTTTGTGTCTGATCACTCTCAGCACCAAAGGGAGGGCCATGGTGGGCTTCTCTACACTTCAAATAGCTGCAAAAAAAGTTTTTCACATCACCAAAGAACAGGAGTTAGTGGCCCTCTTTAAGTCAGCTGACTATCAGTGTGCAGACATGTGAAGGTGGAGCACTGTCTCTCAAACAGCCACAGAAAACCGTTCCTATAGCTTGTTCAGCCAGCGAAAACAGCAGCGTGCAGCAACAAGTTGAGGGGGGGTAATAATGCGCCATGCTTCACACATTTAAATGAAAACTTTGACCGTTCTTTCTTTTGCTTTTGATTAGAAAAAACAATAGAAGCAGTGATGGAAAAAAAAGCTGTTTTGAATCCCTATTATTTCTTTATTATTAATCCTTGTATATAATAATATAGGTAATCAATCTAAACCTTCACTATCCTTCTAATGATTATTTGCCTGTTGCGAAATTCAAGTGGGGGAAAACTTCAAATTAAACACATTTTTCTGACCCATCTTCTGCCTTAATTTATTTATTTTTTTGCAGTTATTGGACTGTCCAGCTGGAATGTCTGATGGCTCCGTGGCCACCTCAGACAAAAGAAGCTAACAAAAAATACACACATATACACTCACACACTCTCGCATACAAAGTTGTTTATCTAAATACTCTCTGAACAGAAGTTGATTTCACTGTCTGACCAAGGCTTAATTTACTTTCCATGAATCTATTTGCATCTCAATGAAAAATGGCAAAAGCAATCACCAGCTTGCCCAGGATGAGGTGTTTGCACTATCCAAACAGGTACATTGCGGCTAGCTCACCTCCCTGCTGGAGCTAAAACAGACTCAGCTCACTGTCTTTACACTGTAACCACCTATGGTGTAAGTATGAATTGTGATCAGTTAAATATATACCCCAGACCTTCATTACAAGGAAATATGAAAGTAAAAGCCCCTATCTCCTGTCGTTTGCTCTTTATAATACATAAACAGAAAACACTTAGCATGTAAAATTAATGTGAAAATTATTCCCGGGGTAAACTATAAACACAAAAAGTTACCCCGCACATTTACCCTTTTTTCTCCTTCCCCTAGATCAGAGTGTAATTGCCAGTAATCAGGTCTGTTTGCTGCTGATAAAACCACTCTGAATGCGAGGAACCCTCTTTGTGTGATGACTCAATTATGCCAGAAGTGGCTCATCAAACCTGGCCCATCAGCTGCTTTAATAAATAAGGAGGAAAACTTGCTGCAGGCGCATTATAATTCCATTCATTCCATAATTAAATCCATTCCAGTTTTAACCCTTCGCTCAGTGTGCTTCTGGAAGAGGAAACAAAAACAAGGCAGGAGGAAGGGATGAGGAGGGGGGGCGAGCGCACACCAGACAGTGACCTTGTGCAGAGCACCCATCCGTTCCCTATAATTCAAAATGATACTGTTGAAGAAAGGTTAAGAGAAAAAGACTCAGAGAGAAAAGGGATGTGCTGGGAGGGGGGGATCAGTTAATACGCGGCTGCTGTTTTTATGTATGCATTGTTTCCACACACACAGCCTTAGACAGTAATTATATTAAAAGAGTAATCTAATCATAACAGTTGGTTGGTTGGGAGTGCAGCTCTGACATTTTGAAATCTTATTTTGTGTAATCTCATTTGCCTCCATCATATCGCCTGTACCCCCTTATCTAAAGGAAATGTAAATAATGTAATTAATTTTGTGCTCTCCAGAATCTTACTTTGCTACTCTGGCATGCTTTATTGGTTTCAAGATGAGGTATCAGCACAGATTTGTTGTTTTCTCCTTTTTTTTTTTTTTTTGTTACTCCATCACAATAATGTTTGTGTTAATTATACGAGAGCATCCCAAGTGGACAGATAAGCTAGGAACTGAAGCAGGGCGCACACACACAAACACTCAAGGTCAGTGATGAATATCCACAGCAGCTGCAGAGTATTAATAAGGCATTATATGAAAATAATAATAATAGCATCACTAACAACCAAAATGTGAGAGTAATGTCCAGATCGTTGAGCGTTCTGCATGCGTTTGCTCTCCTTACCATCTCCAGCTCGGAGCCAAGCTCCCCTGATAATGGTGAAAGGCAATGGTTATTCATGATTGCTGGACTGGGAAGGCCCCCCCCCCCCCCCTCAGTTTCAGCCCATTCTCCTCCTCTGCAGTGGGAATGCTGGCAGATGGGGTTAAAGGGGGGAAAATAGGGTGGGCTCAAGGACAGTTATCAGCCAGATTAACACACCGAAAGTCTCGCAGACCCTCAGCATCAGGCTGCTTCAGTTTATTTTCCCCCCAGAGAAATCTATCTACCCTCTGAGAAACATTACTTATGTTGGGGCGTGAGGATGTGTGTGTGTGTGTGTGTGTGTGTGTGTGTGTTTGAGAGGCTTAAATATGATTCAGCAGATGACAAACCCACTAGAATAGTAGTAGGGTAAGTCTTTTTTCATATGCAAATGAAACTGTGTGAATACCCCCCCACCCCACCCCACCCCAATTTTGTTTTCCTGGGGAAATGCTCTGTGAGCTATAATTAAGAGGATGTGTGCTTTTTCTTTCTTTTTTTTTTCTTTCTCCAAAGCTAACAGAAATAAATAATTATATAATAAGATCTGTGAAGTGAAGAGGCTTAATGTACTCATTGTGTTCATCCTTGTTTTCCCTCTTGGATATTTTGTATTAATTAGAAGCAAGCAATTTGATCTCTGTCAAGCAATCAATTTGCATTTTCTTCCATTTTTTCTGTGGAGATATCAATATAAGAGTTTCTATACCATGAAATGACTGAGATAAATTTGTAAAGTCCAGATCATTGCGCAGTTTACTCTTTTATAAGAAAGTTGCAGTGTGTGTAACTAAATAGTGCATGTTCTTGTTTTTTTTCTGTCACAGATAATGAATTACATGATCGCTTCCTGAGAGAAAACGAGCGTAAAAACAGCAGCCAGGGTGAACAGTGTGGATCTGGCATCTTATCCTTCACTGCGCTCGGGAAACCACAATCAAAGGTGAGTCGTCTGTTGCAAAAGCAGAGTTTTATATGTAGATTTGTTAGATGTTAGAAAAAGACACAAATGTGATTATGTAACTGTCTGAATGAGAGTGTTCTGTAAGTGGAAGTCGGTGCTCTTTTGGCTGCACTCATCTCAGTCTCAGATAGTTTTTTCTCAGAGAGCTGTGGGAGGCTGGCAGATAATAAACTCTAAAATAGCTGAACCTGCTTTATTTGAAGCGATAAAGCACTGAACTATTGTTGTTGACTCAGATGGACCCTATTTTATGATGAAAGAAATAACTAAAGTTAGCGTATAGAAACTAATAAACAAATCACCTTAAGATCAGAATTGGTCAGTTCTTTTTGAGCAGGGCAAACACTGCAAACACCCCCCCCCCTCATTAAATATATCAAAGCTAAGAAGACTGAACATTTTCAGTCTCTGAACACTTCAAATACTTTGATGCTCTTTTTTGATCATATCACTTGTATTCATTTTCTTGTTGGTTTAGAAATCCTTTTTCCATCACAGAACCTCCAGAATATTCTTTTTCTTTCTCATTTATGTGTATATAATAACTCTAATGTGTATGTAATTACTCTAAAACTATAAAAAATGGTCAGTTGCGCTATTTAAACCTACCCTTAAGCAGAAACACACATAGATATTAGGCAATGTTTTTGGGACATTCACATTTATGATTTTTTATGATTTGTTACCAAATCATAACACAGCTTCTCTTAATGCAAGCTTATCTATTTTACACAAAGTTGTGTAAAAATTAACAGTAAACCTTTCAATAAGAGGAAACACAGAAATGAAAGATCATTAATTAGAATTACTAAAAAAAAAAAAAAAAAAAAAAAAAAAACTTTGAATAGGGATAGAAAGATAACTGGAAAAACTAAAGAAAATAATATAAAAAAAATAAATAAATACGCAAATAAATAGTGTGAATATTACAAATGTTATGCTTTGTTTTAATATACTGTTATCGTTTATTGACAGGGGGTCTATATCAAGAATAAACTAGAAGAAAGAAAAAAAATTGGCTGTAATATATTAATTCAGCGTCGCTGTTTGCCTACATTGATAACATCAGTTTAAATCATTGCTGAAATCACAAGTTAGTTGACGTGAAGAAAACATTTTACATCTGGACCAACAAATTTATATAAAATATTGAAGTGTGTCTGTTTGTGAAAGTGTTATAACCTAATCAGCTACACTCAGTTTTACAGAAGGTAATCTATAGTGTTTTGGAGTTGTTTGTCTCAATAGGCTGTAGTAATCAAAAGTAATGAACCTATTATGAGCAGGACCTCTGAGGGCCCGGCGTGGCATTAAGAGTGTGGCACATAAAAGGTTTATTAAAGGAAATTAAGGTCCATCACTGCCACACCTGCTCCCCTATTATAAATGTATGACAGGTCAGTGCCTTCAATCACAACAGCAAACGAGAGAGAGGAGTCATGTTTCCCATTACCAGAGAAAAGTAACAGCATATCCTATGACTCACAGATTTCGCTGGCCTGTGACCACTATACACCGCCACCATCCCGGAATAATTATGTTTAATAGGTTTTATTTGGGATCCACAAGCAACAGCCAGTGAGAGTAGATGGTTTTTAGCAACTATTTTTGTCTAAACACACTATGAGGTCCTGTCTGCACTTAAATGTCATTATTTTGTGTCACAATGATTTTCTCACTCTTACAGAACTTTTTTTTTTTTTACTTAATACTAGTCTGTTTACATGTTACCAGTGTTTTAGTAATTGTTTGTGGTGTTGTGCACAAATATGGACTTCAAGAATAAGTAGCCCTCAGGACTACTGGCTTATCTTCTAAATCACAAACAAATAAATGCGTTTTCTGATTTACATTGAAAAATGTCTTGTCTTTTTACTAGCAGCAAAAAACATTAATAAGAACTTTAGTCCTGAAAGCTTTGCAATAATGGCTTCCATTTTTCGTCTGATTTTAGCATTTTGTTATTTAGTCAAGTTTTAAACAGTAAAGCAGTATCTTATTTATGTAATCTCTTCATCATTTTTAAAAGCAATCGGGTCAGTCCTTCAGACAGCCTCTGTGGGCTGACCTTGGTTTCCAACTAAAATATAAAATGTGAGATTTTGCTTATTTTACCAATTTTAATCCATATATCTCATTCATTTGAATATCAGATTAAAAAAAAACTTGTTATCTCTGCTTTTTAACATAAGTAGATTGTGAGAGAATGAATAGTTTTAATTGTTATTTGAAAGGTAAAGTAATCAGTTTGTTGTGTTTCACTATTTTTGTTTTGCATTATTTCAGTAGATTTGACTAATTTGGAGAACTGGCAAATTTAATTTTGCACCAAAACTGTAAAAGAACTACAAAAAAAAAAAAAAAAAAAAAAAAAAAAAAAAAAATCAGTATATCATCTGCATATAT